TTCCACGTGAGGTCGCAGGTAGGCGTTAAACATTTGGGGACAAATTGAGGGTACAAACCGACCGAAGGCTCTGCGAAGAAGGCCGAAGTGTTGATTTCCGGTTCTCGTCGCCTCCTCTGTTTGTTTTGAACACCCGAGATCTTCCTGTACCAATACACCTAGGCCACGCTCCTGAGAAACCTTCACCAAGGTCTGGTCTCCAATCTTGTAAGCGTTCACCGGCTGGTGACGCAGATGCATCACTTTGCACTTAGCCATGTTCAATTAAAGTTTGTTCCTCTTTGACCATTCGTAAATGCAATCTAGGTCATGTTGGGGCAGATCCTGATCTGCCTTGTTACTAATCGCCCGCCATATCTTGACGTCATCGGCGAAAAGCAGGACGATTGAGGAGATGACTCTTGCCAGGTCGGTGATAAACCCTAGGAATAAACGCGGTCCCAGCACTGAGTCTTGTGGGACACCACATTCCACCTCAATTGGGTTAGAAAATGATCCCCTAACACACACTTGAAGCTTTCTTTGGTAAAGGAAGTTGCTAATCCAATCAAGTACAGGATCTCCGATTCCGTAACTTAGTAGTCTTTGAAGTAGAATGCGGTGATCAAGGCGGTCGAAAGCTTTGGAGAAGTCCAGATAGATGACATCGACTCCGACCCCATCATCGGCCACTTCCGTCCAACTACCTCGTGCGATCAGTAGGTAGGTGGTGCATGACCGGTGTTCACGGAAGCCATGCTGTTTCCGTACCAAAATGTTGCATTTTTCCAGGTAGTCCATTAAAGCCTCAGCGACGACTGCTGCCATCACCTTCGCGAGCACAGGGAGGAGAGTCCCTGGACGATGGTTTTCAGGATCTGAACGGCTACCGCCTTTAAAAATTTGGATGAAAATGCTACACTTCCACATAGTGGGAACTCGTTGTTCATCAAAGCACCTTTGGAAGAACTGTGACAGTGGTTCAGCTAGTTTGTTGGCCGCAGCCTTTAGTGCCTTCGGGCGGATGTTTTCTGCTCCTGGAAAACTATGCTCACGCAGTCAGAGCAACTTCCTTAGCACAACTGATGGGTTGAAAATTATGTTTGCAAACTATGGTGTCGGTAATGTGCTTGATATTATGGGATAGGTAGAGATTGCGAGTTCGAAGATTGGGGCGTATTGTATCCGCAGGGCATTAGCTGCTTCTTCGGCGCTTTTTACTCTACCGTCTGTAGTGAAAAGTGGGGGGATTCCATGCTTCACTTTATGAAGCTTATTGACATGCTTATACAGCAGTTTGTTGTTTGCCATGAACTTTTTGGCTAGGCACTGTTGATAAGTTACTTTGTCCTCACGGACAAGTGCAGTGCAATGGTTGCAATGGGTCAGGAAATTTCTCTGAGTCGGGGTTAATCTTGTAGGCACGCCATGATGCATCCCTTATCGCCAGGCATTTTCGAGTCCTACTCCTTATAATTGAAGGCATTTTCGCGGGAAGAAGGGGCTTGGTCTCTGATGCTTGTTGACGATGTCTCTGAATCTATTAACGAACTCTGCCCAAACGTTGTCAATGGGACTTTTGTTTGAGAATTCCCAAGCAGCTGCGTCGGCGAGGTCTTTCAATACGTGGTAGCGTGTGAGTGTATGAGTTAGTTCCGAGTGTTCAGATGGATACTCTGCATAACACAACCAGGCAAAAGTTATTACTACATGGTCACTGAGACCTAATGGACTATCCATCAATAACTTGTCAACCATGAGCTCTTCATTCGTGAGCACAAGGTCCAGTATGGACGGTTTGTTTGCTGTCCTGAATCTAGTGGGCGTGGTGACACGATTGTACAAAGGAGTATTAGCGAGCAGTTCATGCAAGTCTGCTTTAAACTGCTCACTGGACGGCGCCGAAACCTCCAGCTTGTGTAGATTGAAGTCCCCGGAGATGAGAATGTGGCTGCACCTAGTGCGTGTTACTCTGTTTAGGCTACGGATCAAGCAGGAATCCATTTCCAGAGTGGATGTTGGGTAGCCGTAAACGATAGCTATGAGACATGTGTCGTTGTGTCTCAGTCGGAGACGGCACCAGGGTGAGTCGGTAACGTGTGTTTCCAGGTCCACAACTAGTGTACATTGTAGATCGCTGCGGTAGTAGAGTAGGACCCCACCTCCTCTGCTGGGGCGGTCGTTCCGGACGAGTGACATTCCGGCTATCTTAACCTCAGCATCAGTCACCTCTTGATGTAACCAAGTTTCGGTAATAGAAATTAGGTTTCAAGCATTCGAAAAATGACGTAGTCGAAGTTCGTTTATTTTACTGAGGAGCCCTTGGGCGTTAGTGTACATACATGAAAGTTTCTCAGATTTAATTAATGTTTCAGAAGTTGTACAACTCATACGTGAAGTTTCGCCGACCAGTGAGTGGCCGGCGACTGGATGCATGGATGAAGCAAATGAGTTTACGCCGACCATTAAAGGGTCGGCGACTAATCGTTTTTCGGATGGGTTGCATACTCTCAAGAAGTATTTGATATATAAGCAGGCATCAGATGCTCCGAATTCCGGTGTGTGCTCGTGCTCTGCTGTGCCTCTCCGGATAATATGGCTACAGTTGAAACGGTCCCCGAGTAGGGAACACGTCTTCATTTCTTTTGGAATTATTGTAAATGACTAACACACCTTGTCAAGTATTTCTCCATCATATCATCCTTGGTTCGGGCGAGAATTAGGAACAGTGCAAATCCCCGACTTCCTTTCTTTTAGGCATACACTTCCAGCTTTTTAAGGAAGACGGAAATAGCTGCTTTGCTAGAGAGCAGATTGCTCAACTTGCCTCGGAAGGTGTTATTGATTGAGTTGAGTTTTTCAAAGAGCCAGATAAAACACTTCCGGCTTAGCTCTTAACAGTTTTCGTTTATAATCAGTTCCAAAAGAATTGTGACTATGTTGTCCCAGAGTACAACAAAACGGCGATGTTTGTTGCCTTTGGAGAGCCATTTAACCTCTCTATGCAACAGTGGACTCTGGAACCCTTCAGTGTTTTCCTCACAGAACTGTTGGGAAAGACAGTCTAGAACGGGGTGCGATTTGATAGTGCTGGTTACTATTATAACACTTGACAGTGAATCGTTTAATTGCCCCCCCAAGTTTTAATCACTAGGTGCCATCAGTGAAACACACAGTGAATGTTATGAATATAAGGAAAACATTTTTATATGGGCAGTGAATCCTTTATATCCTCCGACCATTGCGGCAGTCCCATGTGCTGCCTTTGAAACTATGTTCTGTATTGTGGTGGTGTTTTCTGTCGGATAGCTATTGACTTTATCGAATATTATCGGAGCGGCAGGGAGGCTAATGGAGAGTTTGCGATATGTATGCTCATACGATATTGCCTTTTCTATTCTTCGAAACGCAGATTGGTTCATGAGAAAACCATTTCGACTAAATGGAAATGGATGTGTTAAGCGAATTTACAGAGCGCAGTTATAAATCGGGAAGACGGTCATATCTATTTCATGAAGCACTTGGTCTAGGCTTAGCAACTATTACTCGTTGAATATGCGGCCTTCTGTCTCTGCCCGGAGTGCCCCATGCTTAAGCGGATGTTGCATTGTTGATGCTTCTTCACCGCTGTTGGGCTAAACCAACTTACACTTAAACTAGTTCTCTTTTAGGTGCATAAATTTCATTCCAGTTTATTTGGTTTGTTTTGTCTATCTGAATAATCTTCTATTAGCTGGCCACGTTGCTTACGCTCATTGCGCTTTTCTTCGGTAACTATGTTGCGTTTGTAACATTTTGAGCAACTTGTGGACATTTTTTCCTTATCGCGAATTCATTGCTAACCAACTTACTTTATATGCTAATTTGGCGAAGAGTTATGCCACCGTATCTGTATGCATTATTGTATTTATTTTATTTTATTTTTTTCGTTTCAAGTGATTGGCTGTTGCTTGATATCCCCGGTGTGACTGCGCTTGATGTGCATGTTGGCAAGTTGCCTACCTGTCTATTCCCACTACCTCGTCCATACTGGTTCCAGGAGACAGTTGGTGTTTGCTGGAGGGGACGGGGTGCACGTTCATTGTGGCCGTGCCAGGCTCGACGAGTGGTTCCATGCACTCAGTGTGGAGCGGACTACGGTCCAGCCACCGCCTTGTGTGCGGTTGATTCCCCAAATACAGTGTGCTTTTGTTTACCTTTGAAGGTGTGCGGGCCGGCTCCGTTGCTGAAACGTGGCTCCCATCCACGTGCCTCCCGGTCTTATTCCTTCGGGTTTACACTGGGTATGGGGTGTGTGGTTGGGGCTGTGGGTGGTGCAGCGCAAGCCACCCATGGTCCCTCCTTAGGCGCAGGCGTCCTGTGGCTGGCCGCAGTGACAGGCAAATCCGAAACCGGATGCTACCAACCATCTCTGCCCAGAAGAAAAGCATTAAAGTTGGGCAACCTGCGTATACTTTATCTGTTGTGTAACTGGTGAGTGATTTGCTTCTCAATTGCTAAGCGAAAGAAGTACTTTATGCAGTCTTTCGATAAAGCTCATGGGAAATCGTTTGCACTAGATTGCTTATTAGTGCCTAGTTCAAGCTTAAGCCGCTATCAGGGGACTTGATAGCTGATGTGGCTCAACGGGCAGAATGACACAATCTGTAGCATTTTGTTGAGATCCAGTATCGTTGTTTTTAGGACTCTGGCTACTGACAATTCTAATAATGATGAACTCTGAATACAGGAATCTTCTCATCTGGGGTATTCAAATATCCCGTAGAAGTGCGCAACCTATCACTCCACCTAAAGATTTGGCTTGCTTACGTTGTGTAATGTGAGCGGATTCCATAAGACAGGCAACAGATGCTTCCGTGAAAATGTCTCCGACACTCATATGTTGAAATACACACAAGTGACAGGCATTGCTTCTGCTTTGTAGCCATTTGAACGTACGAAACGGTTGATGAATGGCTGCCACTTGCTAGGGTTTGAATTACCCCTATTGTCTACTTTCGGCAGTCAACTGGAAGTATAAACGACCAAAGTGCATCTGTATTCCGCAACCGAGAAAACTGGAGGAGTTTGTTATTTTTCTTCAGTTTATAATACGGGAATCGGAATGGACAGGAATCCAGCCAAACACAGTGAGAGATGCAGTAAAATCCATACAACCTAATGCGTAGGGAAAGATTCAATCTATCTGACGTGCACACCACTGACATCCATGTCCGTAAAAGAGGATACTGGGACAAACGTTAACGGTTTTTCAAGAAATAAGATGGAATGCAATGGGTTTGAAGTATCGGCAGATGTTGGTTTCTATGAAACATTTAAAAGATTCCACTGGAGAAGAAACCAGGGAGCAAAATAGTGCAGTATCTTCTACAGAAATCGGTGAGGGTTTCATTCAATCCAAATGGTTCGGTCACAGCGGATATGTTTGAGGTTAAATGTAGCCAGTTGCAGTGAGTCGCCTCACTTTGAGCATACCATCACAATAGAAGCAGCTTCGAGTATTACCTGTGAAGAAGTGAAAGTGGTTAGAAAACACAAAACGGCGGAATATTAATAATCCTCTAAGTCCCGTCTAGTGAAAACTCAGATAATGGATAAAAAAATATGGAAAAAATACGCGGAGATGACAAACATGTAACGAAATGGTTTATCAACTACAACGGTAGCTGTATTGGTTTCCACTAAAGAGGGCACATCTACCGACTGCTTCAGGAACACTGCCGATTAATCTCAGAATCCCATATATTCCGCTTAGGAATAAGTCATTTATGTGGCTTCTCCATAATTTGTTCTATGGAACCGCAAATGCAGTCGTGTGAAAAACTCTACGTATAACATCCTCGAATATCTCAATAACAAACATCCAGGAAAAAACACGAAAACACGAAAAAACACCGAATATGTCATTTCTGCGCCCACATTGGCCATTTTTAACAGAGGGTTGTAAGACGCACACATCAACGTTGATTTTATTAGTTAACACAATCACTTCATTCTATTCCTGGAATTTGCCTTGGGTCTATCGGCTGGAACTTGTTGCCAAAGTAAAACCTCGCTCAGTGTAGGACTACAGTAGAGAAAACGATACACTGTTTTCATTAAGCTTTCTTTTGAAACCTCGCCGGGACACCGAATGTGACTTGTGAAGCAGGGTTTCTAAACCCGGATAAAAGTCTTATTCATTGTTTATTGTAGGAAAATTTCCGTTTTCAAGAAGTGGTTAGTAATGTATGTTTGAACTGTTTGTTGCACTAGTAACCTATGTTAAAATGTGTTGTCAAATCATTAAACGTAAGCCTTGCCATAACCTAAAGGCAAAATATACTATCCTTTATAAGGGCCTAGAAGGAAACTATCTGACTGTAAAGTAAATACCCATATGATGTAAAAATATTTGAATTATGGGCAAAGAGACGGCAGTAATTAAATGCACGCTGGGCTTGGCACCTATCGTAGGTATTGTATAATCGGTTGTCAATCAACACGTGAACATCAGCGGAGCTAAAGCAATCATACAAGATATTGTAGAACAATGAGACACTGAGAAGTATAAATGCGGTCATTCTCTAACATACCTGCAAAAGAATCACACCGATACTAACATAGACCGCCATCATCCCGTACCGATCGATGTAACCCTTCAGAACTTTCCAACAACCTTGTCTTATGTTGCTGTTGACCGAGTCGAATGTACCAGGACAACTGCCAACTGGCTGGTTGCTTTGATCAAATTTGCAGCAAGGTACTGGATACATCAGTGCTGTGGGGGAAATATTTCGAAAACAAATTACTGTCATAACTAGGGCAGTGTATGGCTCTGTAACACAGCCGCGTGGTCGATGCGTGGTTGTACGCTTACTGTAACATCACTTCCAAGAGTGAAACGTCACGGCACCGGCACTAACAGGTGAACATGTCGTGCACACACAATAAGTTTAGAGACCCATACCGTTTTGAACAGGTAGAGGAAATTTTACTTACAATGCGCTGAAGCAACAGATGCGAAATAGAAATGACAGTAGTACAGGAGCCTTATTGCAGCCCTACTAATTCAACATAATGGAGGAGAGCTTGGTTGTGGGTAGGAAACGGAGCACACTATCTTCCGTTGCCATGACTGTCACATCATTGTAGATTCTAACGCTCAGCTACACTGTACGACATGTTTAGCCTCCAACATTATAAATTGGTCGGAAACTGACAAGTCTCATGATAACTCGGCAGTTTCAATATACATGACGTCTACAGGTTTTGTCCTTATGATGGATCTATATTGAAAACACTAGATCCCCAACCTCATACCTTAAATACAATGTAAGTCTTGTCGACTCGTAAAATCAGAATCCATGCTTATTCTTGTTTACCTTTTTTGTTCCACCTCATAAAACGGTAGGCCGGCAAGATTAACAAAGCTACAATATGCTAAAGCACACGTTAATAGCGAAATAAGTAAACCTAATACCGGTTTACAGTACTTTTCTAAAATCTAAAAATGGATTCAACGCTAATCAAAGCCCTATGCTGATGAACAAACAGGACGCGGTAGCTGGAGTAAATCGCGATGAATGCTGCACAGCAAACATGAGGGAATTTATAATAAATGAGTAGAGAAACAATAAACCCAATAGAAGCACCACAGCCCGGTTAGTACCGGTGATATAAAAGTGAAACAATCTGTACTTGGCATCTACTTGAGTGATTGATATAAATACGATACAAGCAAAAGCAATCACTTAATATGTGTGTATTCGCTTATTTGGTGATGAATATAAAGCAGGCTGAGAGCTTCAAACCCCACTCAAGCTTATCTTCAATTACCACGATTGGTTCAACTCAACCGTCACAATTAATGGATAAATACCAGCGTCAATCCACCAGTCTACAGGGTACGCTACGCTACTTTCTGAAAACTACAATTACACACATAGTATTCGACTTTAGAAATAAGCAAAAGCAACCAGAATTATTTACGCAGTATTAAAATCGGATTTACGCAAAAGCAGACATGACTACATAACAGTGTCTAGCTGCTACCATCAAACAACGGAGGGAAATCTTTATACTCCAAATACTTATCGTATATATTGCCACAATACGTCGTCAGGCCATCTGCACACTTTATTTTGAACACGTATAGTAATTGGATTTGAAGCAAACTCCTGCTATCTCTATCTGGAGAGCGCAAGCAAGAAATCGGTCGCGGAACTTATTCTTCCTGGGAGTGATTGACCCACGAACTGTAATGCACCAAGAGAACCCAATGGTCAGCAAGATATATGGATACATTGAATGCCGTATGAAAATTTATTTGCTTTACAACTCACTGTAGGTAGTTTTATCGTAAACTTGAGTTCGCTTAAACTTCGTAGAGTTTTTAAAGTCGCCGCCATCGTTGGAACCGCAACATTGGAGCTGCCAACGTGAAAATATAAAAGCATTTAGCTAACAGATCATGCTTACAGTAAACTACTTGAATGCTGGAAAGCAAACCCACACTAGGTAATATGACAACGAATAGCTTAAGTCTGCCTGATCATTGCGCTTATTTTACTAATCTAGATCATAATGAGACAGTGTGAAATTCTTGGGACCAATGAGGTTTAATCCCAAAAAGGTACGTATTATCCATGAACAGTGTATAAAAATTCGGTGGATTCCACGAATTTCGTGGGCCGCCGCGAGAAAACGAAATCTTTGGTTTACCTTCTTATCGCTTTGAAGACAAACCTATTCGTATTTATAAGGCACTTTTAACCCAGACATGACTATGGATACTGAACAAAACAGGTTAGTCGGAAACCCTGGTTTTTCTTTATTAATCCGATGAGGTTTGGATAATATCGGCCACTAGAAATTCACACATATGGGGCGCAATAAATAAATAGCTTTGAGGGCCTGTCATTTATGACGGTTATCCAAAGCAAATTCATTTATCTAGCAGTGACAGCCTTCAGACCGTCTAGCCAGAATCTACAAACTAGATCCTCGAGCAAATTTTACAGTTGCATTGCAGAGTATGGGAGGCATCACCCGTTAACACGTTAAGTATTATGGACAAATGCCCTTGACGCTAAACCGAGAATTTGGAATAGCAGCTCTTGTCTCTGACCAAATCTACATAATACCAACATTTAACTGATCCAATACAGCAACGACTAAAGGTATTGACGGTTCCTCTAATATATATATATATACATATACATATATATATATGTATAGTTTAAGCGGGCGGTGCAATACAATGCCCCATGACACTTCGCTGGTCATTAAGCTAAAGTAACAAAGGGATTTTGCTCAAACACAATCTATGTTGGTCTACATTGAGAGCTATGCAGTGATGAGGTAATATAAAAATGATTCTAGCGCAGGCCATCCCGATAAGTATACGAAAGCTGTTAGAAACGCTCAGATCATCTGACTTACCGCAAACATAAGAGCTTTCATTACCATGCTATCTGTATCAGTGGAATTGACAGAGACGTAATTTGCTGTCATGGTGTCAATGGTCCCCTTCAACGGGTCCGTCAACTGCACAAAACAAGTGAGAATGCATCGAATAAGATCAAATATAAAAACCTGCTCAGGTTCCACGGTTAATTCGGAGCAGTACTTGGAGCAACATTCGTTCGCCCAAATAGAGCTACGTGTAAAAGATGATGGCTTTGGGTAATTAATTTAGTTTGAACTATCCCGTAGTGTCCTCCAGTATATAGTACATGGGAGTAAGCTTCCTATTTGGAAAACGTTATAAAATAATATAATTCCAACTGCGTTCCCTCGACATTTGGTCGCTAGCCTGCCCGGTATGAGAAACTGTAACTTATCTTATTCGCAAATCAACCTGATATAAATGTAATTGCTTTCCGGGCATATATTGGCCCACATTTTTGTTTTGGGTATATACGTAACATTCGAATACGAAGGCATTACGCGAAGCTGCATTTGTAGGTCACATGGACAGACTATGCTTATTGAAATACGAGATGCCATGTGACACACCTACGAAACATACAACCGACTGTTTGCATTTGTTTAATAATCCCTCAGTGAGTTAGTACTATGCTAAGAAACTGTTACTTCGTTAACTTCTAACGTCTCTATGTTCAGCCTAAGGATAGCACAGTGTGCAATAGTCCGTAGATTTCCATAGGCTACACTGCTTTTGGGTACTGAGGAGACAGCAAAATAAATTGGTGCAATTGACCTCATTTTATTAATATGTCTGGCACACGCACTTGTCAGTTACTTTCTCCGCTCACTCTACGGCGCATATGGAGAACTGTGACCGAACGGACGCACTTGACCCCGAGGAAGATATGTTACAGTGAGATTTGATCGATAGTAAATAAGAGGGGTACAGTTTCTTGGTTATCCGGCGCATGCACTCACAAAACAGTGTAACGGGATGATAGAATGATGAGTTTGAAACTGGTTTTAATGTATCTGTTGAGTGTAGATACGAGAGTAGCATTGGGTTGGATGTTCCGACCTGATGTCTATTTGTCTCATTGGATTCAGGCTGGTGTTACACTTTATGTTTAAGTGAAGGAGCATCATGAGCATGTGTGGCAAGTGGTTATCAAGGATACACACCATGAAACCTGCACATATATCTACCCGACTGCGACTGCAGAGTCTTGAAAAATATATAGAAAAAAAACAATAAATTATCAATTAAATTTAGTATTTTGGTGATACTTTGCATATAAATGCGCATAACACCGACTTCATCTTGTTCATAATAGCGGGCTAATAGTATAATGTATCGGTTTAGTCTGTAATCGTCAGTGAATGCTTAACGTTTAGAGGCAGTATGATTGTTCTAGCCGTGTTATGAGAGGAGCATTTACAATCTTCTCCAAGGTTATTTTACATCAATTTCTAGAAATTTGTATCCAACTTGACAGTACTGAATTTAGTACGCAGTAACTGAGCTGGGTTACAGTTGCGATCAGCTCGAATGTGTTCCCCAGCATTATCCTAACTAAAATTAGATTAGCATACTTTGTGTACAAGAATGTTTCCAGCATAAAATGAATTCGGCAACGAACTCGTTTCAACGATGATGAAACGCGTCAAACATTTCGATGCTGATATGTTAATGTGTTTCAGCCTACGCGGTAGGTAGTTATTTGATTTTACTCAGGTAAATAATAGAAGGTTGAGTTATCCGAAACCAATACATGCATGCACTGATAGTTTGAATAAGAGGAATGACAACGGGAATAATGGGAAAGTCAGAGCGCAAGGTTACTTACTATATTCGGCTTTGCGGCGTAGATAATGACGACGATGATTTCAGCGATTAGCAGAATTCCATGCAGTATTGCATACTGTAGAAGTATACGAGAACCCAATTGATTCGCAAAAGGACGAAATATGTGAAAAGTGGATATATGAAATGAGGCTCAAGCATAGCTTCGCTTGTGAATATTTCTTTTTAACACATGAGTCTCCAGTCAGCCGAATGCAATCAGGGGTTGGGCCAAAGCCAGCATCTAGACTCACTGGCTTAGTTAAGCTAAGGCTGAGGTTACCGTTTGTACCATCCGGTATATGACCGAAAGCTTGCATTTTTCTATAGTGGCATTTATTCCTCAACACCAAATTTATTAACTAACTCAATGCCGGTACAGCCGGAACTGGAATTACAATCTATGCAGTAAAAGCCACTGCTACTATGCGGAGTCACATGTACAGATTGTATGTGTGGGCTGGCTGCAAATGGCTTCTTGGGTTCACAAATGTAACAGTAACTAAATGGATCTTGGTTTTGACGTGTAAATGTACACCTTAAATTTAAACCATACAAACGTACATTTAAGTGCGTTAAACAACAGAAATCCCCAGTGTCCGGAACCCCATCGCATCAGCCCGACATTTGGTAAACATATTTAATTACCTTTTCGGATTGTTTGAAACAAAACAAGTCATTCTGATTCGGTACGCTTAGATCACGTTGGTCAGATCGATGCAGTACATTCTTTCTCGGCCTGTAGGAGTAGATGCCGTGATGTCATATGGACAGTAATTTGCATTTGCTCACGCTGGCTTGAAGTACGTTTAGTGTTACCCACTGATGTACATTATCTAGATCACATTGGAGCAAATGCTGGTCGGTATTCGAGTAAATCCTGAGCTAAATCTTAATACCATCAGCTAAAAGCAGGAAATTCGAGATTACATTCTATGCGAGATTATTTATGAATACCGAAACTGCATGACTACACGCAGCTCGTTCGAATTGTTTGGCGCCGAATAAAGAGTTCCGGGTTGACCAGTAAATGTCGTTTTAGGAGGAAGTTTGCAATCAAGTTAAAGACCACGCAATTTCGGGGGTTGGAATAAAGAGTTTGTGAATATAGACGTAAAACACCTTAGAAAATCCAGACAGACCATACGAGGTTTATCTTTAGTGTCTTGTGTTCGGTTCAACTAAATCATGCTGTTTGTAATTTTTTGGTACGCGACCGATGTTGAATGAAGACGTGAAACTCGATATTAATAATGTGTAGGTTTAGAAATCCGTGAGAATATTTGTAGCTCAGGATGCGGATGAGGTTTTCCAGAAACGACACACGCTTCAGTAATGATGTATTCCATAACTTTACGTAGTACCGAAAGGGCTTTGGGGGATAGCTTGAAGGTTAAACTTTTTTTTCTTCCTCGTGAGAAAACTGATTACTTGATAATTCCAACCGGTAGAAACTTGGTTCTAAGCTAAGCAACATTGAAGGAAGTAGTCCAAAGGTTCCACCAGTTTCCTTGCATCTTCTCTTTCCTTGTGTTTTGAAGGCATCTACTCCAGGAAAAGCTTGATTGCACAGGAGCTTAGCTTCTGCAGTACACCTTCAGAGGTAAAAGAGATATGACTGAATCCCGGCTTCCTAACAACAATGGCTGAAAAATTGCTTGATGGTAAGATCCCCTGATATATAATGATCAGCCTGCCTCCTCAGTGCCTTCGACGGTTATTTGGACGTTCTTGTCGGGCCATCTGCTTTCCGGAGCGCAAAAATCTTCGTCCTTCTCTCTTCAAAACCATTGCTGTGTTTCTACAGTAGTATATGATTGGCACCGACGGTTTTAACATATTTTGTTAATGCGCCACCTCGTCTCCACTGAGCATTTGAGCGTAGTTGGTATACGGAGTTTAGGCAAATGTTTCAATTAGCTGACACTGAAGATAATCCATACACTTGACATGCTGCATCGCTAAATATCTTTGAGCTAAGCAGTTATGTAGCCCAAGAAATGCTTCTCAGATGTTCTGCAGTATTTACCTAAGTTGATTAATCCAAGTTAACTAGGAATAAATTGAGACTATGCCAAATTACTCTTGGCACATTTTATTTCAGAGAGGAGCATCAGATAGCAAGCTAAGTGATCCATTTTGAGTGTAACTACTTGTTATCCGAATACATTATTGAGCAGCGCTCTCCTTATTGCTAATTGTCAATGTAGGAATTTACTTGTATCATTCATTGGCCATAATTTTGTGTTAAACCGATGGAAACACTATATTGATTGACCCAATAATAGGCGTGATGAGTACTAGTTTATCATAATGACTCCCACACTAACACATTTCTGGCTATCACTTAATTTATTTTCCGGAAGTACACCACAGTGGCTTTCATTGTTCAGAATAGAATGTACGTATTATTTGAGTACCATAGTGGATTGATAACACTGGGCTGATTACAGTCAGCCTCGAGATCATATAGTTTGTTTTACTGCATTAGGGTTCTCATGTAAAATCCCTTTCCCAACTTTCAGCAAAACGGAGCAAATGCTACATTCATGTTATCATGGCAACACGTTAGGCATCTAAACAGCAATCCAATTGAGGGCTGGTCTTAAGATTTCCATCTCGACTTGAAACCGGTTCACTGTAATTGACAGTAGCTTACAGTCGTCCAAAGTATTTTGCTGGCAAGCACTCTTGCTGACGTGTCATAAAATGTAAGTACAGTGCGCCGTTTTCCTAATACATGGTAACTGGCTTTTTGCTGGGAGCAGTTTTGTTCCGAGGAACGAAGGCAAAAATCAGGGTTAATGAAAGGAATAGAGTCGGTGAATATTCCAAGCAGATCGGCAACTGTGTATCGAGGCCACATTTGGTTCATTGATGCAAACTAAAAGCTGGTTAATGTCTACTACACGAAAATATATTCAGAAGCTGCTCGCCGCTTCATTCTGAGGCAATTTACGACCGGAAACCAATAAATATACCGCTATTCTCAGGTATTGATAATGAAACAGTATTCCATTCAATGTGTAAGGCTCGGCGTCAACGTTTTCGCTTTTAATGTCCAGTAAACGAAAAGCTGCAGTGAAGTTGCTTATCGCTCTTCAAACTAGGCAACTGCAAAGCTGTAGCAACAGGGAGGCCTGCCACTGGGGGTAAAAATAAGCAACAGATAAGGAATAAAGAAATGAAAATTGCCAGTGACTTTTGCGTTCAAATGTGTAGCGAGCGTATTCGGTCACACTAGTTGCTAGACCCTACAACTTGATACGATATCACTTAGAAAGACAGTGTTGGACGCTGGACAACCTAATGATAGTGGAACCAACTTCCTGGCACGTTTATCTTTTGTGATGTGCGGAAGTTATATTTCTGGATAGAAATAGCTTGAACTACTCTGCAGAATACTCTGGACTGCCGATTGTTATAAGGCTGCCAAGAGAGAAATAGCTGCAATGAAATGCTGGACAATAACATGAAAATGTTATAGTGTGAAAGCATTAGGTTCGATGTGGTGGGTTTATAAAATACCGGAAAATCCTATTTTACGCAATATAGCAACCGGCTGCAGTCGTCGATGTTTTGGGCTCCGAATGGCAACCCTACAAACAGCTTCTCAGTAAGAGTGTAAATACTCTTTCCTGAGAGGAAGAATATGGGCAAACAGATGACTCCAGATGAGAATAACACAAAAGGTGTGCCCAGTTAGGGGAACTGGGTCTGAGTCGCTAGCGACTTTATTTAAGACCAAATAACATACTATTTATATGGCACACTATGCTCCGTTGAGCGATTTGAACTTGCTTCCTGTTAATGAAGGTGTCTTTGATGGAAGGCGTAACGAATTCATCGACCGTGCTCATTGATCGCGCGGATTTACAACACGATAATCGTTCAAGCGCGTATGCATTGCTGCTCAGCTATCTGTGAGCAATAGATCCAGAACTTCTGTTGCCTCAAAATTCTGATCACGTTGGTCGACAGGAAAAGATTCAATGTTACGAATGCTTGAACAACATTGCGCATGGTTAGAACTTCTACGAGGGGGTCCTCTATTTACTCATGAACCCTGAAAGCTGATTTATAACAAATGGAAAAGTTCAGGATTTACGAGTCCAGTTGTGCGGTCTATCTAGAGTTCCCATGGACCCAGTACCAACGATACTAAGCCTAAACTAAGTACGTAGTACGAAAACTAAACTAGAAACTACGAACAATTAAACCTAGACTTAACGCACGGTCTGGGCAGAAGAATAAAATGAATTATCCTGTAACCGTGGTTCTATAAAGCATATTAAATACAGTACCTGACTTACGAATAGGTTTTGCAATCGTAATGCAAGTGGGCAGAAACTGTACAGCGTGGGGCAGAGCGAGTCTTTGGGCAGTGTCACAGTAACATGATAAGATGAATGACCTCGAAACGTCAAGGATGTGTCAGTGATCGAGTGAAAGTAATAAATATACGGTATGTTAACTGCTTGTAGGACACAGTAAAGGAATGTAAATGAGCAAGATAATTAGGGAAAAGAGATACCGTGTCCTCATGTAATCAATCCAGGTTGGGGATATATCAAAGTTCCTTTTGGACTTTACAGGCCCTTCTGGAGAATAGAGATGATGCACTTTCTGTAAAGAAGTGTACTGCTTCCTCCTGCGTGTATACGAGATTCTGAAGCAGTCTTTTGTTTTCTTTTACAGCAGAAATGGGCACTAGTTTATAAAACCATGACTTTTTCTTAAATAATGTAAAACATTGATATCTATGTGGTACATTTTAGTTTGCTGGCTCACTGCATGGTCTATTTGCTTTTTAAACTTGGCTAGTGTCGGGGAGAGAGTGACAGATAAGTTTTTCATTTGAGAAGACAGTACACACAATTATTACCAAAACTATAGATCGCTTTCCTCATACAGTTCATACGTTTCACCCAGTAGGTTTCCTTAGGCTACCGTCAATATAGTTACAACATACGCAACCTATCCAAATAGATATAGGTAATAAACAAGTCCCGATACTTCCTGCTGAAATTGATGAACTTGTGTTATGGTCTCGCAGGTACAACGACGCAGGCCGGAAGG